CATTTAAAGGAAGTAAAGCACTGCTTTTGGAGGTTGTAATGTATTTTAAAGAATGAGCTACTTAAAAAATACCTTTTTTTATCAGATGAAAATTTATCTTTCCCTTGCGTTCTCCTACCGCTTTTACCACAAAATATAGAGACACCTTCATGAATCCTTTGGGAAGCAGAGTCACTGTAATGAAGTTGGTTGGGTTAACGTTATAAATCAGGGCGCTGGCGTCGGCATGGGCTGCGGCTCCCTGGCAGTGTCCCTGTTGAACTGCACATGTGTGGGGCGGTAAAGGACAGGACTTGCTCTGTACAGCCTTTGTTCTACTAGTGGTTTAAGTGAGTAAGGCCAAGTTTAGAAACATTTATGCTGTTTATTTTCAGTGTTTGTGGTCTTTCCTTTCCTGTGTTTCTGACGCTTTTAGTGATCCTTTTGAAGTAGGTTCTCAATTTATCTATTTATGCTTTAAACTAGTGCTTTTCAAACATGTACTTGCATATAAATCACCTGGGGCTCTTGTTAAGGTGCAGGTTTTGATTCCGTTGTTCTGAGGGGGGCCTGATTCTGCGTTTCTAACAAGCTCTCAGATGGTGCTGACGCTGCTGATCCACGGACCTCCCTTTGAGTTCACTATCTTAAACCATCTCATTTTGAAACAGAAAACAACATGTAGTAGTTATCATTCATAAATATTATTCCACTAATCAAGAGGAATGGGCTTTGGTCCTTCCTGCATTGCATCTTCCTGGGAAAAGCAGACCAGAGGTGGCTGAAATCTGGTAGTTACCGGTGTCCACTGTGGATTCACGAATGTGCAGGGGTGTGTATTCGACCACCAGCTTCTAAGACATGGCAGTTATCTTTCCCTTCTAATATTTTTTCTTTTCTTCCCTCAATAAGCGTAACTTGGTAATAATGATGATGATGATAATAGTAATGATAAATCAAATGTATTTCTTTTTTGGTGATACGTTATTGAATATAATCGCAGTTTCTTGTTATAAAACACTGTAACTCAAGAAATTAATTAAAGACAGCAGAACAAGGGGGGAAAGTTGCTGACAAGTTAGGATATACAAGCCTTATATGTCTGCAAACTCTGGGCTGTCATAAATGCAGATCTGAAAAAATGAAGAGTATAGAGTTGATGCATTCTGAAGAATTGTAAACTGATGATTTGTTCCATTAACCTGTCAGAGTTCATAAAGTGGGGTTCATGGACTCTTTAAAATTCAAGGGTCTGTGAAGTTGGATAAGAAAAACATGACATCTTTATTTTCACTAACCTCTAACTGAAATTTAGCATTTGCTTCAGTTATGAAAGTTTTAAACAACTGTTGTTTTGAGAACGGGATCAGAACGCTTCACCAGACTGGTACCCAGAAAGGTTAAGAAGCACAAATTACCAGTTCAAACTCCAGAAGCGGTGTCTGTTCCCTCATTTAGAAGGACAGTTCTCAAAAGAGCTCTCTTGCTCTAGGTAAACATAAAGAACTTGATGGTTGGGGAATAAAGTTTTTGGTCAGGCAGCCATTATGATTTCTAGCATTTTGGTATGGTCATCACTGAGCTTCAGCTTTCTTTCTGTAAAGTCGAG